CCTTTAGGACCGTGGGATCACAGTCACTTTTCCTGCGCACGGGAGGACGGTGATCTATACGGATGCTTCCACCGAGGCAATTCTTGCCACGTTCACCAGGGAGCCCCACTCAAGTCTCTTCGTTCTGCACACTGCGTCCCACCAGGTAGCAGAGTCCGGCCAGGTTACTGCGTCCCCCCAGGTAGTAGAGTCCGGTCATGTTACTGCGTCCCCTCCGGTTGCAGTGTCTAGTCAGGTTGCTGCGTCTGGTCAGGTTGCTGTGTCTTGCTCCTGTCAGTCTCTCGCCCACCCGACCGTCTTGTGGCACCACCGTCTTTGCCACCCGTCGATCCCCCGCCTCCGTAGCATGGCTAGTCACCGTCTTGTCTCGGGTCTCCCTTGCGTCTTTGCGTCGCTCCCTCCCTCGCCTGCACCGCTGTGCACTCATTGCGTCGCCGGCCGCCTGCGCGCCACTCCGCACTCCTCCTCCATTCGTCCGGCCTCTGCTCCCTTCCAGAATTTCCACTTGGACGTCTGGGGCCCTGCCCCTACGCAGGGACCTGAGAGGGAGCGCTTCTTTCAAGTGATCGTTGACGACTACTCCAGGTACACCACAGTGTTTCCTCTCGCGAAGAAGTCCGAGGTGACTTCTACGCTGATCCGGTGGCTTCTGGCCACTGAGGGCACTCGTGGCAGTCGTGTCTCCTGTCTCCACTCCGACCGTAGGGGCGAGTTTCGCTCCGGCATTCTTCGTGGATTCTGCGGCGAACAAGGCATCTCACAGTCCTGGACGCTTCCGGAGTCCCCACAGCAGAATGGGGTTGCTGAGCGCCGCATTGGCTTGGTCGTGGACATCGCCTGCACATCCATGATCCATGCACGTGCGCCCCATTTTATGTGGCCCTACGCGGTTCGCTACGCCGCCCACCAGCTGGACCTCAAGCCGCGAGTCTCGCGGCCAAAGGCTTCACCGACCAGTCTTTGGACCGGGTCCCCTGGTGTTGGGTCGGCCTTTCGTGTTTGGGGCTGCCTTGCGTTTGTTCGTGACACCTCTGCGGACAAGCTCTCGGCTCGCGCCATCCCCTGTGTCTTCCTTGGTTTCCCAGTGGACTCTCCCGACTACGCCTTTTACCACCCACCCCTCCACCAGTTCTTAGACTCCTGTGACGTTCGGTTTGACGAGTCAGTGTCCTACTACGCTCGCTACCCCTGTCAAGGTCTCCAGGTTCCCCCTCCTCCCCTTTTCCTCGCACCCTCTCCTCCTCCTGATCCCGCTCCTCCAGTACCCCCGCCCCCCCCGGCCCTGCCCCGTCAAGTGTGTCTCACGCTACCCCTCTACCCTCGGTCGCACGTCAGGTAGCGTCTCCCTCCCCGCACTCCTCCTCACAGTCCCCTCGGCAGCCTTCGAAACTTCCGCGATAGGTTACTGTGGACTCCGGGGGTGTTGGAGCTGGAGGTGCTACCACTGGAGGTACTCGTTCTGGGGGTGCTCTTTTGAGGGGTGCTGGAGCTGGAGGTGCTGGCACTAGAGGTGCTAGTTCGAGGGGTGCTGGAGCTGGAGGTGCTGGCACTGGAGGTGCTGGTTCTGGGGGTGCTGGAGCTGGAGGTGCTGGCGATGGAGGTGCTAGTTCTGGGGGTGCTGGAGCTGGAGGTGCTGGCGCTGGAGGTGCTAGTTCTGGGGGTGCTGGAGCAGGAGGTACTGGCATTGGCGGTGCTAGTTCCGAGGAGACTGGAGCTGGAGGCACTACTTCTGCGCCTCCCCACCGCCACACGTATCTAGGCAGCTCGCCGGCGTGAGCGTGAGGAGCAGGAGCGATTGGAGCAGGAGAGACAGGAGCTACGACAGTTGGACCTGCAGGAGCAGCAGGAGCAACAGGAGTAGCAGCAGCGTTCACCGGAGCCGCCACTTTTGCAGCAGCTGCTCCCACTAGTGAGTGGCCTTCGAGCCCTTGGTCTTCCCTCCGCTCCTGCTGTCCACTCACAGTCTCCTACCGCATACGGCCCTAGGTTTCCTCCTCCGGACTCGGCTCCGGCTGTTTTCTCTCCTCCTCAGTCACAGTTGCCTCCTCCTGTTCTCCCGCACGACTGGACCATTCGTTGTCCACCGCGTGCTCGTCCCTCGTCTCCTTTTGACGACCTCTGCAATGTCTTGTTTCGTTTTAGTCCTCGTCGTGCTCCGTCTGTGTCTGTTCCCCCTCCACCTCCTGCCTCGTCTCTCACTGTCTCCTCTCACCCTATCACTGACTACTACCGTGCTGTTCGTCCTGTTGTCTTACGTGTTCTCGCCTCTCTTGTCACCAACCCTCGTGCCTCTCCGTCGTCTGTCTCGGCTCTTACTGCCGCTGTCGCTGACTTTGCTTCCACCCGCCGCCTTGACTTCGCCACGCGTGTAGTGGCTGCTCCGCCTGCCCATCCTCTATCCGCTGGGGGTGAGTTTGCCCTTGGCTGTGACGTCCTAGAGGACAGGCAGTTTGAGCTGGAATTCCTGGCAGCCGCTTCTCCCTCTCTCTGTGCCATGCTGCTTTCCCCTGAGGGAGACCCCGACGCCATTGACATTCCGACTCCTTGCACGTACCGTGAGGCACTGTTAGGGCAGTGGGCCTCTCAGTGGAAAGCGGCCATGGACTCCGACATGGCGTCTTGGAGATCCACAAGCACCTACGTCGACGCAGTTCCCCATCCCAGGGCAAACGTAGTCGACGGCATGTGGATCTTCAAGGTGAAACGACCACCTGGATCGCCGCCTGTCTTCAAGGCGCGCATGGCTAGAGCTTTTAGTCAGTGTGAGGGAGTTGACTTCTTCCAGAACTTCGGGTACTACTTCACGTTGCAGCACAGCAAGACTACGAGCTGCACTCCCTCGAATTCTCCACTGCCTTTCTCCAGGGCAGCCTGCACGAGGAGATCTAGTTGCGTCGTCCTCCTGGCTTCACTGGCACTTTCCCGCCTGGGACCCAGTGGAGCCTGAGACGATCAGTCTACGGTCTCCGCCAGGCGCCCCGTGAGTGGCACGACATGTTGCGCACCACTCTTGCTGCCCTCGGGTTTCGTCCTTCGTCCGCCGACCCGTCGCTGTTCGTTCGTTCTGGGCCCACACCTTTTTTCGTCCTCGTCTACGTCGATGACTTGGTCTTCGCTACAGCAGATAGGGCCGCTCTGGCTGAGGTGAAGTCCGAACTGCAGAAGAGACACTCGTGCACTGACCTTGGCGAGCTCCGCCGCTACCTTGGCTTGCAGATCACTAGGGACAGAGCCGCTCGCACCATTACACTCTCACAGTCACACATGGTGAAGCAGGTCCTTTAGCGGTTCGGGCTTCAACACTCCACCACACAGCCTAATCCTTTTGCCGTTGACCACATACTCACCGGCCCTTTTCCCGACGAGCCCTTTCAGTCTAGTGGTCCCTACGCAGAGCTTGTGGGCTGCCTCATGTACCTGATGACTTGTACTCGTCCGGACCTCGCCTTTCCTCTCAGCGTCCTCTCTCGCTTTGTTGCGACAGAGAGACACCGTCTTGTTCACTGGACAGCTGCTGTGAGGGTGGCGAAGTACCTGGCGACTACATCAGGCATGGGGCTTGTGCTTGGAGGGAGACAGCCAGTTGTTCTGACCGGTCACTGCGACTCTTGCTACGCCGACGACGCGGAGACACAGAGGTCCACTCAGGGGTACTGCTTCAGCTTGGGAGCTGGATTTGTGTCGTGGAGGTCTACTCGGCCGTCGTCTGTGGCTTCGTCCAGTGCAAAGGTAGAGATCTATGCTGGTGCCATGGCTGCGCAGGAGTTTCGCTGGTTGAATTTCTTGCTCGCCGACCTTGGTGAGCGGCCTCGCTCCGCAGCGACCTTGTTTGCTGACAACAAGGCCATGATCCTCCTGTGTCAAGAGCCTTGACTGGAGAGCAGAGTGAAGCACATTGACGTGAGGTACTTTCTCCTGCGAGAGTTGCAGCGACGCGGCCATGCACCTAGGACCAATCGGGGATCACCAGTCGACCTCAGACATCCTCCTCCCCAGACTAATCATCATCCATCCTCAAACCTGTAGCTACCCCAGTTGTAGCATCACATCGTACATTGAATAAACTCCTTTTCACCAATACTCCCTTTGCAACAAGCTCTTGATATAGCTTTACTCGCTGCGAATCGATACAAGCACTTGCGTCAAGCTTTTTATTTTATACAAGATGATATAGAGTAGAAGGTACAGTGTCGACCCTTGCCGCGCCTGACAAATGCACATTTTTCTAATTGCATGCCCACATTCCCTAGATGTTGGATTGCAGTCTCTACAAGCCCTGATTCCACTGCAGACTCTGCTGCTAGCAGCAGCTGGCACACACGTGGCGCACTGCGATTGGCTGACCAGTGCGCAAAAACAGATGCAGAACTTGGGGAGAGGGGCACCTGGGGTGAGAAAGGGTAAAGGTGTGGTGAGGATAGGAAGAGAGGTGAGGTGGCGCTCTGGGATTGGCTGACCACTGTGCTGTCATAGATGCAAGGGCTGGGGAGAGAGACAACTGAGGCTGAGAAAGGGCGAAGGTGTGGCGAAGACGGGCAGAGAAGTGAGGTGAAGCGGGTGGGGGAAGAAGTGGTGTGAGGAGGAGGGGAGGGGAAGTGGGGCTGGGTGTGAATAGAACATGTGCTTTGAGAGTTGACTCAACAGGAAAACAAAGCAAAGAATCACTCGCTCGCCAGGAGAACATCGATTGGAGGGGAGGAGAAGGGGGGTTGGATTGGATGAGAGCAGATCGAATGTGACTCTGGAGTTGAGTCAAGTCGAGAAGAAAGCAAAACCTCTCTGACCAGGAGATGCGCTCTCTGAGAAATGCCTGAACATCGCATATAACATCGATTGGGTCTTGTTGCTTCTCTGTTTCAGTGTGCAGCCATGCGAGTGGTGAGGCGATTTTTTAGGCGCCTCAAGAAAAGCTAAGCATCACCCACCAGGGCACCACTCACCAGGGCACCACTCACCAGGGCACCACTCACCAGGGCATCACCCACCAGGGCATCACCCACCAGGAGAACATCGATTGGAGCATCTTCTTCTTTCGCTGCTTCGCCCTGCAGCCATGCGAGCGTACGGTGAGAGATGGAGGTGCCCTTGATCCGACGGCCCAGATCCTCTTTCCATGCACGGAACACTCCCACATCCACAATTGGTGCTACAGTGCCAGGGCCAGGTGATACAGAAGCACCAGCTGCTACAGTATCAGGTGCTACAGTGCCAGGCGCTACAACGCCAGGTGTTACTGTGCCAGTTGCTACAGTGCCAGGCGATACATTGCCAGGTGCTACAGTGCCAGGTGCTACAGTGTCAGGTGATACATTGCCAGGTGCTACAGTGTCAGGTGCAAGCAACCTCCTTTTCACTCCAGCACTGCCTCTCGTCTCATCCCCCTCCGGTGGCTGCTGGTTCGTTTGAAGCATGCTGCTGTCTTGACCTCCCTCCACCACAACCACCACATTGCTGCACACACAAAGAGAACAAACGAGAAGTGCAGGCAGCTGATGAAAAAATAGCACCGATTGAAGCAGCATCATTCTAATTGGAAGAAGCAGCACCAATAGTGTGCTCTTGACTCGGCTACCCTCCGCCACAACCACCACCTTGCTGCAGACAGGAAGGAACAAAATAAACAAAATGCAGACAGTATCATTTGCAGCAGCATCGCTGTACCATCAATGGCAGCACTGACTTCAACACCAACGTTTTAGGCAGCACCCATCTTTACCAGCAAAGCTGTGGGCAGCACTGGCTATAACAGCACCCATTAAGATGCAACGCAAGCAGTGGCATTCGAAGCACCATCGCTGTACCGTTCACGCCAGCACAGACTTTAAGCACCAATCTTTAGGCAGCACCCATCTTTACTAACAGCGCTTTAGGCAGCACCCATCTTTACTAACAGTGCTTTAGGCAGCACCCATCTTTACTAACAGCGCTTTAGGCAGCGGCAGCACTGTCAAATGCAGCAAAGATTACGATGCAACGTTTACAGCAACTAGTTGAGCAACTGAGGAATGCGATGGGCTGCCAGACAACCACATTCGCATTAAAATGAGAGGAAGGGGATGAACAACAAATGAACTTTGAGGTGGAGAGCAGGGAGAGGAAGGTGGCGAATCTCCTGTCCGACCGTGGCTGGTGGCGAATCTCCTGTCCGACCGTGGCTGGTGGCGAATCTCCTGTCCGACCATGGCTGGTGGAGAATCTCCTGTCCGACCGTGGCTGGTGGCGAATCTCCTGTCCGACCATGGCTGCTGTCAACCAGCTGCTGTCAACCAGGGAGAGGAAGGTGGCTCTCCCCCCACCCACAAGTTGCCACACTTGCAAGCATAGCGACAGACAGTCACTAACTGGCTTGGGCACTAGCTGGCACCAACCCACCTTGACGCAGAGAGCAGGGAAAGGAAGGTGGCGAACCTCCCATCAAACTTGAAGAAACGCGGAAAGCATTAGTTGCCACCAACCTTGCGGCAGAGAGCAGGGAGAGAAAGGTGGTGAATCTCCCGTCTCCCCGCGCCCCCCCCCCCTTCACCCACAAAACTGCTGCGCTTGCAAGCATAGCAACAATGACTCGGAGCAGCACGAGGTACCAACCTTGATGCAGAGAGCAGGGAGAGAAACGTGGCAAATCTCCCGTCTCCCCGCGGCCCTCCCCCCACCCATGCACTGGGCCCCATGCGGGCTCGCACGCACACTGCTCGGGATGATGGCGCATCCCAGGAGATGGTGAGGGCGTGGAACTGGGATGAGGGGAGCGGGGAGGGATGGGAGGGGATGTGGGAAGCACACATGAGCTCACATGTAGACTGCTCAGGATGATGGCTTTGGCGCATCCCATCCCAGGATACGTTGACGGCACGAAACTGGGAAGGTGGGATGCGAAGCAGACGCGAGCTTGTGCGCAAGTGGGTTGTGAGGAGATGAGAATGCTCATGAACATCGTGAATCATGGAGGGAGCTCGGAAGCACACAGTGAGGGCACGGACGGAACTGTGGAGGTGAATTTGAAGGTGGGTGGAGAAGGATGAGAGGAGGGTAGCGAGTGGAGGGGTGGACGTGGATGCCAATCTGAAGTGACTTTTGGGTCGACTCAAAAGTCACCTCGGGGCTGTGCAGGGGGGGATGAGGCGATGAGGCGATGAGGCGATGAGGCGATGAGACCCATCGCAGGGGGCGATGACGTGAGTTTTGAGTCGACTCAAAAAGGGGCTGTGCAGGGGATGACGTGGATGCCAGTCTGACGTATGACTTCTGAGTCGACTCAAAAGTCACCGAGTGGAGGGGCGGGCGTGGATGAGAATCTGAATTTAGAGGCGGCTAATTTTTTTTTAGACGGTTTTGAGGCGCCTCGAAAATTGAATTAGGTGGATAAGCATTCAATTTCGAAAAAGCAAACTCCCCCCACTCTAACCTCCTCCCACTCTAACCTCCTCTCACTCTAACCTCCTCCTACTCACCTCCTCCCACTCTCACCTCCTCTTACTCTAACCTCATCTTGCTCTCGCTCCTCTCACTCTCACCACCTCTTGCTCTCACCTCCTCCCACTCTCACCTCCTCCCAACCTCACCTCCTCCCACTCTCACCTCCTCCCACTCTCACCTCCTCCCACCCTCACCTCCTCCCACTCTCACCTCCTCCCAACCTCACCTCCTCCCAACCTCACTTCCTCCCACTCGCACCCGAGGGGGGGTTTGATGTGGTGATGGGGGGAGAGATGGCGGAGGGGCGGAGGCAGGTGGTGCGGGAGGCAATGGGGAGCATTGAAGAGTGTGTGCTGGCGTGGGAAGAGGTGAGATTGAGACGAGGCGAGTGAGAAAAGGCGAAATTGACATGAGGTAAGAGTGGGAAGAGGGGTGGAAGGAGGGGTGGGAGGGGGGGTTTGATGTGGTGAAGGAGATGGCGGAGGGGCGAAGGCAGGTGGTGCGGAAGACGGTGGGGAGCATTGAAGAGTGTGTGCTGGCGTGGGAAGAGTTGAGTGGGCTCCCCATTACCTCCTGCACCACTTGCCTGCACCTCTGTCATCTACACTAAACCTCCCCTCTTATCCCTCCTCCCACCCTCACCTCCTCCCACTCTCACCTCTCCCCACGCCTTCACACACTCGTCAATGCTCCCAATCGCCTCCCGCGCAACCTGGTTTTGATACGTCTCAAAACTTGCTCCCAATCGCCTCCCGCACAACCTGCCTCCGCTCCTCCGCCATCTCCCCCCCATCACTGCATCGAACTCCCCCTCCCACCCTTTCTCCCCCTCTCACCTCATTTGAAGCTCGCCCCTTCCCACTCTCACCTCATGTCGATCTCGCCTCTTCTAACTCTCACCTCCTCCTCAATCTCACCTCATCCCATGCTTGCTCACACTCGTCAATACTCCCCATCGCCTCCTGCACCACTTGCCTCCTCCCCTCCGCCATATCCTCCCCCATAACCGCATCAAACTCCGCCTCCCACCCTTTCTCCCACCCCCTCGCCGCATCACACACCCCAACCTCGCCCTCCCCAGCTGCTGGTCCCGGCCAGTTAGGTTTGGAAGGGGCGATGCGGGAGACGAGAGCTCGGGCCTGAAGGAAAGGGGCAGGCGGGTGGGGGGGGGGAGGAGAGATGAATGAGGTTGAGTCACACACACCCCCATCTCGCCCTCCCCTGCTGCTGGCCCCGGCCAGTTAGGTTCGGAAGGGGCGATGCGGGAGACGAGAGCTCGGGCCTGAAGGAAAAGGGGCAGGCGGGTTGGGGGGGGGAGGAGAGATGAATGAGGTTGAGTCACACACACCCCCACCTCGCCCTCCCCTGCTGCTGGCCCCGACCAGTTAGGTTCAGAAGGGGCGACACGGGAGACGAGAGCTCGGGCCTGAAGGAAAGGGGCAGGCGGGTGGGGGGAGGAGGAGAGATGAATGAGGCTGAGTCACACACATCCCCACGTCGCCCTCCCCTGCTGCTGGCCACGGCCAGTTAGGTTCGGAAGGGGCGATGCGGGAGACGAGAGCTCGGGCCTGAAGAAAGGGGCAGACGGGTGGGGGGAGGAGGAGAGATGAATGAGGCTGAGTCACACACCCCCCCACCCCACCCTCCCCCGCTGCTGGCCCCGGCCAGATAGGTTCGACAGGGGCAATGCGGGAGACAAGAGCTCGGGCCTGGAAGAAGGGGAAATGAGGAAATACGGCCAGTTCCTACCAGAAGCACACAGGCGGTCGCATGGGCAGACTTCTGAGTCAACTCAAAAGTGAGCTCGTGCCTGGGGGAAGGGGGAATGGGGAATGCGGCCAGTTCCTGCCAGAAGCACACAGGCGGTCGCATGGCCGGCACGTGTAAAAAGTGAATTTCTGAGACGTCTCAAAAGAAGCACACGAGCGGTCGCATGGCCGGCACCAGCAGCAATCCCCCCTTATCAGTTACCTTGCTCCCAGAAGCACACGGGCGGCTGCACGGGCGGCATTTGCCGCTATTCAGCGGTACTGAGGAGTTGAGAGAGCACATGGGTGGCAGCACATGGGTGGTAGCACATGGGTGGCAGCACATGGGTGGCAGCACATGGGTGGTAGCACATGGGTGGTAGCACATGGGTGGTAGCACATGGGTGGTAGCACATGGGTGGTAGCACATGGGTGGTAGCACATGGGTGGTAGCACATGGGTGGTAGCACATGGGTGGTAGCACATGGGTGGTAGCACATGGGTGGTAGCACATGGGTGGTAGCACATGGGTGGTAGCACATGGGTGGTAGCACATGGGTGGTAGCACATGGGTGGTAGCACATGGGTGGTAGCACATGGGTGGTAGCACATGGGTGGTAGCACATGGGTGGTAGCACATGGGTGGTAGCACATGGGTGGTAGCACATGGGTGGTAGCACATGGGTGGTAGCACATGGGTGGTAGCACATGGGTGGTAGCACATGGGTGGTAGCACATGGGTGGTAGCACATGGGTGGATCTGTCCTTTTGCAAATTCTAAAAGAACAGGGGTGGCAGCACATGGGACGCCTTCGCCTTGCAGGGCTTTTGCGAATCCGCAAAAACCACCTGTGACAACTGTTGATTCGCCTTAAGAAACAAGGTGACTTTTGAGTCGGGTCAAAAGTCTTTTGCGAATCCTCGAAAACCACCTGTAACAACTTTTGATGTGCCTAAAAAAAACTTATCCCTTCTTACCTTTTCACCTGTAGCACACGGGCGGCTGCACGGGCGGCATTTGGCGCCATTTAGTGGCACGGAGGAGTTGAGGGAGTAGACGGTGGGGGCACAGCCGTCAGGGTAGGTGCGTTGGGAGAGCACACAGAAGGGCAGGCTGGCTCGTTGCACTGTGATGCCTGCCAGAGATAGCTGGGCTTTAAAGGCTCCTTCTGAGTTGAGGTTCCTGAGAGGAAGAGCAAGAGGAGGGTGGGGGGTCAGGCATGGGAGGAGGGTAGGGGAGCACACAGAAGGGCAGGTTGGCTTGTTGCACTATGATGGCCCCCAGAGCTAGCTGGGCTTTAAATGCTCGCTCTGAGTTGAGGTCCTTGGTAGGAAGGAAGAGCAAGAGGAGGGTGGGAGGTCAGGCATGGGAGGAGGGTAGGTGAGCACACAGAAGGGCATGTTGGCTCGTTGCACCCTGATGGCCCCCAGGGCTAGCTGGGCTTTAAAGGCTCGCTCTGAACTGAGGTCTCTGGAGGAAGGGCGAGAGGACGGCGGTGGGAGATCAGGCATCGCACCCATTCGCACCCATTCGCGCCCATTCACTCACCGAATCTTCCGCCTTGCCAGCAGCTGCAGCGCACTCAGCCTCTTCAGTGCTGCTGCACTCGCCTGCCTGCCTCCCATCCCGAACCGGTCGTTCAGCCCCCACCAGTCCGACCCATACGGAATCGTGTAGGCCAAGCTATCACCCACCCCAATGCCATTAAGCATAGCTGCTGCTGCTGCTGCTGGTGCAGCGGCGGTGGTGGCTATAGCAGGGACACTGGGCGGCAAGGCGGGCGGCGGGGGTTGGATGGGGGCGGGGGCGGTCCAGAGGGAGTCAAGACGGGCTCGCACGATCCAGTTATAGCGCAGGGCGGTTGCTGCTGACGTGGCTTCAAACGATTGGATCATGTCCCAGCACCCCTCCACCAGGCGAAAGTACTGTAGCAAACCCTGCAGGCCGCTGGGCGAGTCACCAGTGAACATGACCTGAGTGGGGTATTTTGTCTCATCCACGTCACTGTTCGGGAAGACCCGCACAGCTGCTATGGCGTTTTCCCGCGCCAGACGCGCCCAATCCTGAGCTGCCACGTCACTACTCCCCGCCTCCCGTTGTAATCTGAGCACTCTGCCGGTATTGCCACCGCCGCCGCCGCTGCTGCTGGTGATACTGATACTGCCGCCGCTGCTGCTGCTGCTGCTGCTGGCGAAGCTTCGGAGGAAGCTGAGTTTACCAGCGGTTTCGTCTAGAGGCGCGTGCAGGAAGAGGTGTAAGGGGCGGTGGGAGAGAGAGGGAGAGGGGCGCGCGGAGGGCAGCAGCAGGTGGCGCAGCAGTGAAGGGCCCGTTGCCTCAAAGGCCCGTGCTGACCCCACCAGACACACTGCTATGGGCGGCTGGGGGCGGGGGACAGGGGGCAGGGAGGAGGGAGCAGGGGGCATGGACGAGAGGAGAGAGAAAAACGCAAAGGGGGGAGTGAAAATGCCGGGTTCATGGGCTTAAAGGCCCGTGCTGACCCCACCAGACACACTGCTATGGGCGGCTGGGGGCAGGGGCAGGAGAGAAAGCGTCAGGGTTATGGAAACAGGAGGGGAGGGGAAAACGGGGAGAAGGAGGGGGGGGGGTTTGAAAGGCTTCTTGAATCGGTCTTCACTCTTCACTCTTCACTCTTCCCTCTTCACTCTTCCCTCCTCGTTCTTGCCTCTTTGCTCTATACTCTTCAGATCCACTCACCCACCCATACAATCACGCACCCACCCACTCACTCATTCACCCACCCACTCACTCACCCACCCACCCACACAGTCACTCACTCACTCACTCACTCACTCACTCACACCCACCTCCCAATTTTCTTGCTTCCACCCACACTCTCTTGCTTCTTTTAATACAAATTCACCCAATCACTCACTCTCCCGTGCAATCACTCACTCATTGACTCCCTCCCTCCCTCACTGCACTCACTCACCACTCACTCCCGCACTCACTCACATCATCATCCCTTCCTCCAGGCGCCACGAGCTTGTCGATCCACGAGCATCAGAGCGGCTAGTGGCACTGCTGCAGTTTTCCCTTCCTAGCTCACTCCCTCAAGCACTCCCCCTCACTCCCCTAACTCCCTCACTCCCTCAAACACTCTCCCTCACTCCCTCACTCCCTCAGACACTTTCCCTCACTCCCTCACTCCCTCAAACACTCTCCCTCACTCCCACACTCCCTCAAACACTCTCACTCACTCCCTCACTCACTCACATCATTATCTCCTCCTTTAGGCGCCACGAGGTTGTCGCGCCACGAGCGTCTGAGCGGCCAGTGCGCCGCCGAGAACGCTACCGTCAGCACGGCGAAGAGTATAACCAAAGTCTTGGCTCTTAGAAGCACCATCGCGCCGCCGCCTGCTGGTCCGGCCTTTACGCGAATAAAGGCCGCCCGAGCGATGCGAAGCGCCCTCCAAAAGTAGCCTATGGTGGCGGGAGTGGAGTGAGTTAATTTCGTACACCAATCGAAGGGAGGTGAGAGAGCTAACGGAGAAATCCTGACAGAAACTCGACGCGTGACACTCGCTGGGTGTGACTACGTGACTACTCTTTTCAGTCACAATCAGAACGACCGACGGCCTCCGCGCACGTGGACCAGCGATCAGTAAGGCGATTCGTCCGTAAGGCGATTCGCTGGTAAGGCGATTCGTCCGTAAGGCGATTCGTCGCGCAATCTCTCACTGTCAGAAAAAGCGAGACAGGCTCCCGGACCAGTCCTCTCACTGTCAACTCTCTTGGCTTCTTTCGCAAGATCCCGGCGTCCCTAACAGACAATCTAATTTCTCGTCCCCGAAGTCGCGGCACGAGCGATGGCAGACGATACCGCCCTCGGAATCTACGCGGAACGGGCCAGGCCGCACAGCAGCCAGGAATCACAGCCCAATTAAACAAATAAAACCATCGCTTCCGCATCCTGGTATCTGCTCTGCACTACTCTAGTAGTAGTCTGATGTTTCCGGATTTCTCCGGCTAGGATCGATCGAGACCGTCCCAGCCCAAGAGTGCCAGGAGAGCATCAGTTGCACCTGGGGATTAGCACCGTCCAGGTTGTGATTATGGCGAACGTCGCCTAATTAGGTTTCGTTCGACGACACCCGCTACGATTGGTTTGGGTGGTTACTTGTCGTACCCTTCCGCAATCGCTGCATGATTTCGATTGGTCCGGTGCTGACAGAGTGTGACCTTGATTGGTCCGAAGAGGGACATGCACTGCTCTGACGACGAGTGGCGATCGGTTTGGCGACAGCTTACACTACTTTCCAGCGAAGTGCAGTCATACTTATCAGCTGTTCATTTGCACCTAGGGAGCAGTGCCGGCCGGTTGGGTTTCCACGACACTCCCTACGATGGGTGATTACTTGACATCCACTCATGGAATTTCATGCATGAGTTCCGATTGGTCGAGCGCTGACATTATGCAACCCTGATTGGTCCGAAGTGGACTTTTGTTGGTCTGACAACGAGGGGTGTCGAATTTTCGTATGGCAGCATATTTTGGTTTCCCGCCAAGTCTGGTTTGATACTTCAACCATCCACCAGCTGAAGTAATCTCAATGTGAGGGTGTTTGCGATGCGATCAATGAACCGTAATACGGAACAATGTAACCTGTAACTCAATTGTTCGCAGCAGCTGTTTGTCATTGCCATTGGGCTTGGAGCAGCAGTCCATTCAATTCTGGTCGGTGTCTCGGTAATATCGACAGACTGGCAAAGAACAAGTCTACGCAGTAATAGCTAGTGGTGAAGCTAGTCCAGGTCGGTTTCCTAGTATGAAGCGTCTCCCGTGCGCCCCGAGCGCGTATTTTTGCGTCACTCCTCCCGCGCTCGTGTCAAAATTCGGCTTGAACGTTCGCGACGCGAATCTGGATCCACGGTTTTGACGGGAGATGATCACATCGGGCCGTTTCTTTGCCAGGGTCGTGAGCAAACCGTTTGCTCATGGGTGTTTCGTTTCAACCCCTAGAAAATTGCGTCAGATATTGCCTTGTGCTTGCAAACCCTAACTTTTGAGTCGACTCGACAGTCGCGTCGCGTCACACCTGGACTTGCGCCTCGCCTCAATTGCGGCGTGGATTCCGAGCCTGGACCGAGCGCTTCGTCACCCCGTCACCCCTTTTAGAGTCGACTAAAACGTCAAGGCGCACAGGGTGACGAAAGGAACGAATCCCGCCTGACTTGTGGCCTCAATTCATGGCTCCCTCCCCGTTTCGCCTTCCCAAGTCGCGTGACCGCGCCGCTGGCAGCTCCTATTGGCTGCAGCCGCGCTCAGGATTGCGGTCCGTGTGCCTGCTTGCAGCCTGCGCGGCGGCGCTCGTGCCGCTGCTTGTCTCATTCTCGGCCTTGAATGCAACGAATCGGGACACTTTGGAGGTAAATACTTTCCTGGCGGCTCAAAAGCTGCTCGTGCCGCTGCTTGTCTCCCTGTCGGGCTTGAATGCAACGAATCAGGACAGCTCGGAGGAGAACAAGGGGCGTGAGGTGAGATGAGATGAAACACATTGGTGCTCGTTTCAAGACAAGTTGGTTGTTTTCAAAAACCAACTGAATGCAACGAATTGGAACAGCTCGGAGGAGAATAAGGGGCGTGAGGTGAGATGAGCCATTGGTGATCGTTTCCGGGAACTGGCGGTTTATACGGCAGTGGACCGCTACTAGTCCCAATGCTCTCTTTCCCTGTCCCCAGCCCCCATCCCTCTCCCCCATGGATTCTGTCTGGTGAAGTCAGTGCATTGCCTTTGGCGCAACGTAATCAGATCTTCCATTTCCCCCTCCGTCTGTTCCCACTGCTCTCTTTCCGTCCCTGCCCCCTGCCCCCTGCCCCCAGCCCCTCTCGCTCGCCCATGGCAGTGTTCCTTTGAAGCAGACTGAATCAACCCCTTTGTCCCCACTCCATTTTCCTCCCTATGCTCTCCTTCGCCCTGCTCCCAGCCGCCCATAGCAGTGTGTCTGGTGGGGTCAGCGCGGGCCTTTGAGGCGACGGGGCCTTCGCTGCTGCGCCACCTGCTGCTGCCCTCCGCCCACCCCTCCTCCCACTCCTCCGATCGCTCCCACCCCTCACACCGCTCCTCACACCTCTCTCACCCCTCCCACCGCCCCTTACACCTCTTCCTGCACGCGCCTCTAGACGAAACCACTGCCAAACTCGCCCTGTTTCGCCCATCTCGCCCTTCCTGCCCTGTTTCGGCCTCCCTCCCTCCCTCTCTCCGTCCTGTCTTTTCATTCCCGCGTTTGGCTTCTCATTGCGCCTCAAAAACAGATCTCCCCCTCCCCTCCCACCCACCCTGCAGGGTCTGTTACAGTACTTTCGCCTGGTGGAAGGGTGCTGGGTGGGACGAGTTTTGAGACAAGCTTTGAGTCGACTCAAAAAGTGGATTCTCCATGTGCCTTGTACCTGTCCTTTCATCTCCCCTTCCCTCCCACCCACCTGTAGGGCTTGCTACAGTACTTCCGCCTGGTGGAGGGGTGCTGGGACATGATCCAATCCTTTGAAGCCACGTCAGCGCCTCCTCTGCGTTACAACTGGATCGTGCGAGCCCGCCTCGACTCCCTCTGGTCCGCCCCCGCCCCCATCCAACCCCCGCCGCCCGCCCCGCCGCCTGCCATTCCCCCTGTTACCACCACTGCCGCAGCAGCGGCGGCAGCAGCAGAAGCAGCAGCAATAGCAGAAGCAGAAGCAGCAGCAGCAGACTCAGCTGAGGAGGATATGTTTGGTAGCAGTGGGGTGGGTGACGGCAGTGGGGTGGGTGATGGGCTGGCCTATATGATTCCTTACGGGTCGGACTGGTGGGGTTTCAACGACCGGTTTGGGATGGGAGGCAGGCAGGCGAGTGCAGTTGCGTTGAGGCGGCTGAGTGCGTTGGATAAAATGGTGGCTGTTGGGTACAGGTGAGAGGGGACAGTGATGGTGGTGTTGGTGGTGTGCGTGCACGGTGGGTTGTGGTTGTGGCCAGTGAGTTGGTTTGACTTTTAAGATTTCTCAAAAGTCAAACCAACATAGAGGGGGCAGTGATAGTGGTGTTGGTGCTGTGCATGCATGGTGGGTTGTGTTTGTGGCCACGTGTGAGGCGAGGCGGCTGGGTGATTGTCGAGAAGTCTCAGAAAAGGCTGCTAGGTGGGTACAAACAAACTCGAGCTCGAGTCTAATCAGAACTAAAAGTGTTAAATTGCTTAAATTGTTCGCCAAACAGTGTTCGAGGTTCGCCCGAACACGTTCGTGTTCGGGCCGCTGCCGCAATTTGCCCCGCGACGAACACGAACGTGTTCGAGGTTTGCCCGAACACGCCTTCACAGGCGAACGGCGAACACCTGTTTTTGCTTTAAGTGTTCGCCGAACCCAACAGTGTTCGGTTCGGCAAACGGGTGTGTTCGTGTAGGGTTCGTGTTCGCCCCTTGCTCATCCCTATGGGTGGGTACGAATCAGACAGATGCATTCTCGGCCCTTTTTCAATGATGCCAGTGCTCGACATGCACACCCATGATTCTCTCTCACTTTCTGAGCCACCAAAAAAAAAAAAAAAAAAAAACTCATTTGTTTCAGGCAACTTAAGAAACGAGATGGTGGCTGCTGGGTGATCTTTCGGCCTTCCCCTCCCTGTCCCCTTCCGTGCTCCTTTAACCCTTCCCCTCCCCCTCCCCCTCCCCCTCCGCCTCCCCCTCCGCCTCCCCCTCCCCCTCCACCCAGCCAGCTCAACTCAGAGGTGGTATTCAAGGCACAGATGGACATGGGGGGACTGAGAGCGCTGCATCAGAACCTCTCCTTTCCTTCCTCTCCACTTCCCCATTTTCCTCTTGGCCCCTTGTCCCCAGCCAGCTCAACTCAGACATGGCACTAAAGCCCAGATGGACATGGGGAGAGTGAGAGGAGAGCGCCAGAAACTCTCCTTCTGCATCCTCACTCGTCCGTCCCCACTCATTTCTACACCTTTATTTTTCTGCCCCTTACCCCTTCTCCTTTCCGGCCCCATTCCCCCTCACCCTTCCCCTAGCCAGCTCAATTCAGAGATGGCGTTTAAATTAAAGTCCAGATGGACATGGGGGAAATGGGGGTGCAGCGCCAGAACCTCTCTTTGCCAAAATCACCTTCCACTTTCCTCTTCTCCAACCCTTTCCCCGCCTCCGTCCCATACCATGCCCCCGCCTCCATCCCCTACTATGCCCGGGCCTCCATCCCCTATTATGCCCGGGCCTCCATCCCCTATTATGCCCGGGCCTCCATCCCCTATTATGCCCGGGCCTCCATCCCCTATTATGCCCGGGCCTCCATCCCCTATTATGCCCGGGCCTCCATCCCCTATTATGCCCGGGCCTCCATCCCCTATTATGCCCGGGCCTCCATCCCCTACTATGCCCGGGCCTCCATCCCCTATTATGCCCGGGCCTCCATCCCCTATTATGCCCGGGGCTCCATCCCCTACTATGCCCGGGCCTCCATCCCCTATTATGCCCGGGCCTCCATCCCCTACTATGCCCGGGCCTCCATCCCCTATTATGCCCGGGCCTCCATCCCCTATTATGCCCGGGCCTCCATCCCCTATTATGCCCGGGCCTCCATCCCCTACTATGCCCGGGCCTCCATCCCCTACTATGCCCGGGTCTCCATCCCCTACTATGCCCCCTCCTCCCTCCCTCTCCCCTTAGCCAACTCAACTCAGAGATGGCGTTTAAAGCCCAGATGGACATGAGGGGGTTGAGAGTGCAGCGCCAGAACCTCACCTTCTCTTTCCTTTTCTCCATCCCCTCAGCCTTCTCCTCCCCTTCCCTGCCCCGTTCCCTCTGCCCCTTTCCCAGCCAGCTCAACTCAAAGATGGCATTCAAGGCACAGTTGGACATGAGGAGCGTGACAGTGAGGCGACAGAACCTCTCTTCTGCATCCCCGTCCCCTTCCCCTACTCCTCTTCTTCCCTGCCCCATTCGCTCTTCTCCTCTCCCCTTTACCCCAGCCAGCTCAACTCAGAGATGGCATTTAAAGCCCAGATGGACATGGGGGGAGTGAGAGTGGAGCGTCAGAACCTCTCCTTCTGCATCCTCACTCGCCGGATGTACCCCTTAGAGGACGACTCGTGTCCTGTTAAGATCCTCAGCGCTACTGCCAAGGTGCCTTTGAACGGTGCCAAGTGCCGATTGTGCACGCCCTGCAAGGCCGGGGAGGAGGTGAGGAGGGAAGGGGGCAACATGGGCCAAACGCGCATATACCATTGTGTGTGTTGCTGCCAGGGGTTTGTACTGGGATGCACGGCAACGCTGCCTCTGAACGGTGGGTGTAGTGCTGCCAAGGTGCCTCTGAACGGTGGGTGTAGTGCCGGCTGTGCACGCCCTGCAAGGCAGGGGAGGAGGTGAGGGGCGAAAGGGGGAAACAAGGGAAAACACTTGACTATTTATGAGTATGTATGTCCGAACGGTGCCAAGTGCCACCTGTGCTCCCTGTGCAAGGCAGGAGAGGGGGTGAGGGGGAAACGGGGAATGGGAGCGGGGCGGGTGGGGGGTTGGGGGGATCTGAATGCGTTATCACATGCGTGGTGCTGCCAAGGTGCCTCTCAACGGCGCCAAGTGCCGCCTGTGCTCCCCGTGCAAGGCAGGAGAGGAGGTGAGTGGAAAGGCAGGGGCGAAGGGGAGTTGCGGGGCAAAGGTGAGCGAGGAGGTGAGTGAGGAGGAAACAGGGGGCTATGTTTAAATAGGTGATTTCATGCCTTGCTGCCAAGGTGCCTCTGAATGGCGCCAAGTGCTGCCTGTGCACCCCATGCAAGGCAAGGGAGGGGGGGTGAATCAGGAGGGGAAGGGGTGTGCTTTGGAATGCGCAGATGAGTGTATTCCCTCTAAGTTGCCTCTGACCTCTGCTGCCCTCCTCTTTCCTCCAACCACTCTCCATCCTTCCGACGTCCATCCACCCATAAGCTTTTTTCCATCTGCCAGGCTGAAGAAGCGCTAGTTGCCATTCCCGACACGGCTCCCAACTAGCCAGGGCCATTCACTCAGGGGATAGACATCTGCTGCCTTCCTCTTTCCTCCAATAGATCTTCATCCTTCCAACGTCCATCCAACCAAACTCTGTCTTCCACCTGCCAGGCCGAAGAAGCGCTAGCTGCCATTTGAGTCGACTCAAAAGTCACCTCGCTAGCTGCCATTCCCGACACGGCTCCCAACTGGCTAGGGCCGTTCACTCAGGGGATAAACATCTGCCCTCATCTTCCCTTCCCCACCCACTTCCCAACCCCCCCAACCTCCAAACCCCACACATGCCAGGCTGAACTGGCGCTAGCTGCCATTCCTGACACGGCTCTCAATCGGCCGGGGCCGTTCACTCAACTATCCCTCTTTTCCCTCACCACTCTCCGTCCACCCACACTCGATTCCACCTACCAGGCGGAACAGGCGCTATCTGCCATTCCTGATACGGCTCCCAATTGGCCAGGGCCGTTCACTCAGGGGATAGAAATGTGCTCCATCCACCAACCGTGGGAGGACACGTGGCAGAAGCAGTACGATGATGTCATGGGCGCTGAGCTGGCACGCCAACGCCAAGCTGTCGTGCGCATGGCTGCTGACGTGGCGCTCTGCGTGCGATCTTTCGAGCGGGTACGAGGGGAGGGTAATCTGCTAAATGCCTCACTGTTATACTAAATTCCGAGCCTGGTATCTTTTCCCCCCCGTAATCGAACCAGAGGGTACTGAAACGGCTGAAACGGCTGGAACGGCTTATTTCTCTGTGACGTACCTTCTGGCTTTTCCCCGTTGCCTCTCTGTGTGAGGGGCATTGGTTGCATCACATGCTCCCCTTCCCCCCCCCTTCTCCTTCCCTCTCCCCCTCCCCCTCCCCCTCCCCCTCCCCCTCCCCCTCCCCCTCCCCCTCCCCCTCCCCCTCCCCCTCCCCCTCCCCCTCTCCCTCCCCCTCCCCTTCCCCTTCCCCCCATTTCCCCCCCCCAGCTCCGCGCCCTCTCCACTGTGTGGTTCACGCCCTCCCCCGTGCCACTGTGTGTAAGAGGCTTTAATTTGATCGCTGGACATTCCCCACCTACCGCACCCTTGCCAATTTTTCTCACACCCCCCTCCCCCTCCCCCTCCCTCTCCCCATTTCTCCCCCCCCCAGCTCCGCGGCCTCCCCCTCGCCTCTGTGCATAAAGGCATTTTGATTGCTGAACATCCCCCCCCCCCCCCAACCCTCCTCCCCCTCCCCTCTTCCCCTCCCCTCTTCCCCTCCCCCCAGCTCCGCGCCCTCTCCTCTGTGTGGTCCGCCCCCTCCCCCTTGGCGCTCTGTGTGCGGGGGCAGCTGGGGGAGACGAAGCTTCTGGGAACCAATCCACGACAGTTTGCCACTTTCACGCGCCTGCTCTCTTCTACCAGGTGTGCTGGCTCAGGTGTTTTTTCAGGTGGGTATGTCAGGTGTTGTTTCAGGTGGGTGGGTGGCTCAGGAGTTTTTTCAGGTGTGCTGGTGTAAGTTCTTGTTTGCGGCAGGTGGTTCAGGTGGGGCCCAGACATCGGAGAGATCCCAACAATCACGTGTGTGTGCCCTTGCACCGACTTTTGTTTTTTGTCCAACAGTCGTCTTACTCCCGGCGCTTTTTTATATTGAATGCATTCTCCTGAGGTTCAGGCACTCATGTGTTGTGCGCCTTAAAAGTATGACATATGATGAAATACATGTGTGATGTATCCCTTGTGGCCGTTGAGCAGTGTTGTGGTCTTCGTCTCCTCTCGCCCGGAATGGGATGCAGTTGCTAACACCAGTGCTACGGTGAATGGTATTTGAAAAGTTTTCTGAAACACCCTGCTTGCTCGCATCTCCTTTTCCACATGTATCCTGCTTGATTTTTGGGCAGTGTTGTGGTCTCCATCTCCTCTCGCCCGGAGTGGGATGCGGTTACCAACGCCAATGTCACAATGACCGCAAGCGGCAGAGAAGGGGTGAGCAGCACACCAATGCACGCACATCAGAACTTTGGCGAAAGTGAAACGAGCAGCAGAAGCAGCAGCAACACCAACAAAAGAATTACTAACAGCAGTAGCAGCAGCAGCAGCAGCGCCAGTGGAACGAGCAGCAGTATCAGCACCAGACGAAGAAATACCAGCAGTAGCAGGAACAGCAGCAGCAGTAGCAGCAGCAGCAGCAGCAGCAGAAGTAGAAAAAGTAACAGCACAACCAGGAGTGGTAGCAGCAGTAGAAGGAGTGACAGGGAGAGCAGTAGTGGCAAGTGGTGGGTAAGCAGCAAGAGGAGCAGGGATAGGAGGAACAAGGGTAGGAGGAGGAGAAGCAGTGGCAGGAGGAGCGACTCAAACTACAGATTGAGAAGGAGAGAGAGAGAGCGAGAAAGAGGGGGGAGGAGCAGAAGCGGCAGCGGAAAGAGACGGGGCCTCAGACGATTGCTCAGTGTTGAGGGGAGGGAGAGTGAGAATAGTAGAGGGCATGAAATCGACGGTGATGGTGATGATCTACCTGGGAGAATCAACGGCCGTGGTGGTGACTCTGCTGCCCCTCATGGTAGCAACCCCAGCAGCACAAGTAACCAGTCTGTAGAGTTACCGATTCTGCCTCTCCTGGGTGACGTGACTTTGACTTTTCAGTCGACTCAAAAGGCACCCAGTAGCACTGGAAACCCGTTCAGGTCATCCCCTGTCTCGCTTCTCCGAAGCGAAGGAGTGGCCAGGCGGGAGGGGGAGGACAGCCAGAAAGCAGCAGAGAGCCCTTCCCCTTTCAGGAATTCTGAATTGAACTGGCAGAAGGCAGCAGAGACAGGGGGCAGCTGGGGGGCGGACCTTCTCTCCCTCTTCCCCGCCATCTTCATCCTCCATCGCCCTCCCTCCTGGTTGCAGCAATGGCAGCAAGCCGACAGCACGGGTGGTGGGGAGCGGGAGAGGGGGAGCCAGGAGGATCAGGGTGGGGAAGGATTTCAACGTGGGGAGGTGGTGAGGGAGGAAGAATACAAGCGCGAGACTGATGATGGGCTGCTGTGGCGTGTGGATGTGATCAAGGTGTGTGTGTGTGTGTGTGTGTGTGTGTGTGTGTGTGTGTGTGTGTGTGTGTGTGTGTGTGTGTGTGTTGTGCTTTCACTTGCGTGTCGTGCTTTCATGCTTGTTGCTGCTATGTGTGTGCATGTTCTGAGATATGTCATAAGTCCCGTGCGTGTGCATGTGCGTGCTTGCGTGCATGTGTGCGTGTGTGTGCGTGTGCGTGCGTGTGCGTGCTTGCGCGCATGTGTGCTTGTTCGTGAGCGCGCATGTGTGCGTGTGCGTCTGCTACTGCCATACATACTCTCTCGCGTCTGTGTTGCCCCATAACTGGCTCTTCCCACCCACAGGTGGATGTGGACCATTTGGACCCTGCTGTGATTGCAACCTGGGCTACAGCCATGCTACTGCCATGCCATGCCATCCATCGTGAGGCGACAAACGTTGATACGCACCCTGTCATGCCTCTATCAATTGCCTGCTTGCTCCCCTGCAGGTGGATGTGGCCGATCTCGACCCTGCTCTTATTGCAGCCTGGGCTACTGCCGAGCACGATGCATCTGCAGAAAACACGCCATCACCATCATCATCACAACCACCACCACCACCACAACCATCACCATCACCATCACCGCACCGCCTACCATCGCTCGCACCTCGCCCGCTCTCAGCAGTGTGTTAGCTGCTCGTGTCATTCCCCGTGGGAGAGGTCGCCACAGCATCGAGAAGGCAGATAGACAAGCAGCTGCAGCGAGCTGGCTTCCACCTGGCCTCCTGTGTCGGCTCTCCTCCCGACTGGGACCGACAGTGCTGCTCCTATTACCATGTGCGTAACTGTGCCCGTTAAACACACTCTAGTGCACAGGTGAGGCAGCCGCAGCAGGTAGAAGGCATGTAGACGAGCAATGGAGCGAGCTGGGACCAGCTGGCAGTATGTGGGGGCTCCATGCCGGGTTGGAACTGGCAGTGCTGCTGGCGCGAGCGAGCGAGCTGGCTGGGTCCAGCTGGGTCCAGCTGGGTCCAGCTGCTGACGCAATCAAACAGTTGGCGCGTGCTGGGTCGAGCTGGCAGTATGTGGGGGCTCCGTGCCGAGTTGGAACTGGCAGTGCTGCTACTACTTCCACTTCCACGCACAACTGTGTAGGCTGAATGCGCCCTCGTGGCATGCCTGCTCCTTGAGTGTACTACTAATGTATTGGTTATAATTCATTCATTCTTGTCATACAGGATTTTACACACTTGCGCACGCTTGCACACGTTAGTCTCTCACTTCTTCCTCATTTATTAAACCCACTGCAGGTACCAGTGTTGATAAAACTGGTAACATTAACTGTAAGACAGGCCACTGCTGCACTCATCGGTTTGCTCTCTTAAGAGGGAACAATGTTGTATAGGAGGACTTGCTCTCACATGAAGGGTAAATAATATGAAAAGTTATAGGCAAAATTAATGCTAACTACTGTACGGTATTTGTCTTTAGTACAGAACACGGCAATGGTACAGGAAGCTACTGAGGTGATACGATTTAAGATGGTGCGGCTGCATTCTGAGCATGTACATCCTCGTTTGTATGCTCTGCGTTACTCGCCTGTTGTGGCTGTTTCTGCGACTCTACATCAGACGCGGTGGGGGTTACACCCTCTTGTCGCATGCGCATGCAGGTCCACGTGGTATCGATGATAAAGAGAAGGAGGGTCAGTGCGAACAACGCGAGGAGTACAATCCTGAGAATCTCGTAAGCCTCCACTGCAATCGGAAGAACACACAAACACAGTCTGACGTGGTAAGGTTGGAAGAAGTGGTATGGATTGCATCGCGGAAAAGACAAGTGCCGAAAGTGACGTAATTGTGACTTTCCCGCCACTATTACGTATACGGAATTCTGGGATAAAAATGTGATGGTTGGAAGTACCAGGTTTTCCGTCACATACAAAGTGACCAAAAGGTCATGAAAATGTCACGTTGACATCACACTGACGTCACTTTCAACGTGACGGAAATGTTACGGCTATGTCACGTGCACGTCACGCGTTCGTAACCCCGCTGGATGCCAATGTGCAATCCGACAAATGTCACAATTTGTCTGCTTTTAACGTCGACCCGACATCTGGCTAGCATTAGGTCAGCGTGTCGACCATCAAGTTTCAACAGTCTACTATACTGTGCGCTCCGGATCATCGCACCCCCCAATCACCTGCCTGTATGTGAACGACGAGGATCAACACAACATTGTATCCGCGCCCTTCATTTTTAGAGTTCGTACCCAATGCCGATGCACCATGTGTGACACACGCTTGCGCCTTATTCGTTGAAATTCCAGTCTGCTTCTGGCTGACCCCTTACGTGTACGCGCCAGATGACGTTGAAATATGACCACGTGTACGGCTTTAATTTTACATTTGACCCTTGTTCTACCCATGCAAATCGATATCCCACCGTCCACGCCTGGGTGCATCGACGATACTGCACCACCCACGCCCCCATCACACGTTGAATTATGCAACGTGTTCACCCGGGATGCCGTTGACAGTCACCGACCTGTACGGCCTAAATCATGTGACGCACGGATTTGTCCTCCACCTGGCATGCATCCTACCGTCCACAATTCCACACATCGACGACACTCGTCGCACCGCGGTTCCTCCATCTACGGCTGTAAACGTTCGTCACGCCCAGATGAATACATCATCTCACGGCATCCAACGGCGCTAGGTCGAGCCGCCTATTAACATCGGAGGAATCCTTTTGGCCATTACGAATCCCTAGCGGTAGCAATGCCGCAGTATGGTTCTTGGGGCTATGAATACTCTTCTCAACATGCACTTGGGTTTGTGTACGGGATGAGTTTGAGCGACGGTATCTGACCATTCTCGATAGTGCTTCTTATATCCCGCTTCAATTACATATTCTCTCTTCTCACTTCATAAGCAACCTCCTCGCCCAGACACTAACCCAAAATCACGTAAGGCAAATTAACTCTTCAAGGAAGAGTTCGTGTCAGTGAGCGTCATGGCGCGGACTACTGGCACTGCTAGCAACACGACGGCTACCTCCACCCAACCTCCCTCTACTGCCGCACCCCCCATTCACACACCCCCTGCTGCACCCCTAGGTTCACTCACACTCCACCCCCTAGCACCACTCCGTCGACTCACACACACCCACCCCCCTCAGCGGCAGCTGCAGCAGTGGGAGACGGAGTAGGAGGAGGAGCAGGAGATGCCACACACCCGCCACCCCCATACCCTCCCCCACTGCTGCACATGCAGCAGGGGATGGAGGAGAAGGGGGGGGGGGGGGGGGGGGGGGGGGCGCCGTGCATGGCGCATGCAGAGGGCAGCAGGGCGCACGGGGCGCACAGGGCAGCAGGGCAGCAGGGCGCGCGGGGCGCAGAGGGCTGCAGGCCGCGCGGGGCGCACAGGGCAGCAGGGCAGCAGGGCGCACGGGGCGCACAGGGCAGCAGGGCGCGCGGGGCAGCAGCAGGGCTGGCGGGTTGGCCACACCCGCCACCCCCATACCCTCCCCCACTGCTGCACCCGCAGCAGAGAGATGGGGGGGGGGGGGGGGGGGGGGGGGGGGTGGGGGGGGGGCGGGGGGGGGCAGGCAGGTGCTGCAGGTCCCCTCCCCCCACTGCCGCATCTGCTCCAGGGGGATGGCAGATCCCCTCCCCCCCACTGCTGCACCCACAGCAGGGGGAGGGAGAGGAGAAAAGGGCGGAGAGGAGGGGGTCCAGGGGCGGCTGCTCCAGGGGCCAGGGGCCAGGGGCGGCTGCTGAGGTCCAGGAGCGGCTGCACCAGGGGCGGCTGCTCCAGGGGCGGCTGCTCCAGGGGCGGCTGCTCCAGGGGCGGCTGCACCAGGGGCGGCCGCACCAGGGGCGGCTGCTCCAGGGGCTGCTGCACCAGGGGCGGCTGCTCCAGGGGCGGCTGCACCAGGGGCGGCTGCACCAGGGGCGGCTGCACCAGGGGCGGCTGCTCCAGGGGCGGCTGCTGAGGTCCAGGAGCAGCTGCACCAGGGGCGGCTGCTCCAGGGGCGGCTGCTCCAGGGGTGGCTGCACCAGGGGCGGCTGCTCAAGGGGCGGCTGCTCCGACGCACGGCCCCCCCCTCCAGGTCGCCCCTCCCGTCGCCTGTTGAGGCGACCTGAGGGGGGGGGGGGGGAGTACGGGGGGCCGACGCGCGGCCTCCCAGGGCGCCAGAGCAGGCGGAAGAAGGGGCGACGCGCGCCCCCCCAGGTCGCCCCCCCAGGTCGCCCCAGGCCGCGACAGGGTCGGGGCAGGTCCGGGAAGGGGCCGCGACGGGCCTAACGGGCCGCGAAGGGGCCATTGCAGGTCGTAAAGGGGGCCGCAAAGGGGCCTAACTGGCCGCGAAGGGGCCGCGACGGGGGCCTAACGGGCCGCGAAAGGGGTCGTTAAGGGTCGTAAAGGGGGGCCGCGAAGGGGCCTAACTGGCCGCGAAGGGGCCGCGACGGAGGCCTAACGGGCCGCGAAGGGGCCTAACGGGCTGCGAAGGGGCCGCGACGGGGGCCTAACGGGCCGCGAAAGGGGTCGCGACTGGCCTAACGGGCCGCGAAGGGGGCCTAACGGGCCGCGAAGGGGCCTAACGGGCCGCGAAGGGGGCCGCTACGGGCCGCAAGGGGGGCCTCTACGGGCCGCAAGGGGGCCACTACGGGTCGTGCAGGGGGCCTAACTGGCCGCGAAGGGGTCTCGAAGGGCAGGCGCGACGCGCGCCTCGGGCAGGTAAGGAAAAAAAAAGTTGAAGACGTGGTGGGCCCTTAGGAAGGATCGAAATTGCTCTATACCATGTGAGAATCGAGAGTGAAATGAGTGAGGATGATTGCACTAGAAAGCATTGGGATACAAATAGAAAACCCTAACAGGGTTGTACTCACTACAGAGTACCCCACTGCAGACTAGAGAAACATAATATTCAGACACAGACTAACGGCTCGGCGAGCCCCCATTTCAGTTAAGCCTGCGGAGTCCCAAGGCTGGCGCTTGCTTGGGCGCTCGCGGTCCTCCCGCCAACTATGCCGTCCGCAGAGATGCGGAGACCATGGCGGCCCCAGGCCCACGTCTGAGACGCCGCATCGTACTCTGGCTTGAACTCAGCGATGGCCCGGGTAACAGCACTCTTCACAAGGACGTGGAGGCCGTCCACGATGTGCGCGTTACATCCTGCGGAGTTTGATAGGCGGCCCTTGCGCGCCTCCCAGTTCCGGATTGCATCTGTCACCTGCGCACATCACCGCACAGAAGCACGCATTCATCATTCCAAAGGCTGGGAGACCAGACCATTTTTATACGCAGGTGAGTCTTCATACCACGTGCTCCAGCCACGCCACGTGGTACAGCTTCAGCGTCACTGTCCCGTTCACCATCCTTGGCCTGAACGCCGCTCTTGCGCATGCGGTAAATGCGCCAGATGCGAATGGAATCCCGTTACGATCATAACTCCAGCGAGATAGTGCAAGCCTCCCTGCAACATTCACCACACAGGACATGTGCACGCATTAGACACGGGGCTTTCTCCATTTTCAGCGTGAAAGCGTTAAAACCACTAACACTGATCGTACCCGCGTCGACGTCTCCAAGGCCGACCCTATCCCGGACCCTCGCCAGTGTACGCATAGAGGGTGGCGCCCAGGGGCTTTTTGCGTCACGCTCGTCGCGAAACAACCCCAGCTTA